AATGGCTTCTGGCTACTTCATGTCTGAGCACCGATAATATGAGGCCTAACTGGTCCAATATACAGTGTTCTGGTTAAAGATTGGTTTAAGAACTGGTTAAAGTTACTCTGTTGATAACCTGGAGTTAATGTTGAAGAAAAAAAGCCAATTAAAAAAATTGTATTTTTAGCTTTCAAGGACAGCAAGTGAAAAGGAGAGGTGAAGGAGTTAACACAAATGTTATTTTTGGCCCTAAGTCTCTGAATTTGTGAACACTGGAATGCAAAGAGAACAAAAGCTCTTTTTGGCACCTACATCTTTACTATATGAAAAATGGCTGAGGTCATGTATCGAGAAGATGGTGGTATGTAAATAAAATAAGAGGATTTGGGGGGGTGCAGTCTTGTTATTTGTTTTTCAAGCATTGGTGCACACAGAATGTTAACAGATTCTACGATGTCTTTAATCCTATTGCTACTTACCCTCATCTCATCACAGCAATTAACAATTCTGTGGCATTCAGCATAAAATAGGATGCAGCTGACAAAGCAGCTACGTTCTAAGATTAAATTCTTTGAAATATGCTAAATGAAAAATATTTTCAGTATGCAGCACTGCCTTTTTCACTTCCTTCCAGCAAAAGTATAGACTTGAAGAGCATGGCATTTATAGCAGCTTCCTACGTTAGCTATGTTGTACTCTTTAGATGGCCAGAAACAGAGAAGCCCACTCTTTCACATTTGTGTCTACCTCTTTCACTTTAGTGAAAATAACAAGTAATCTCTTACTACAGGATTTATTTGAAAATCACTCACAAAAAATTTTGAGAGGAAGTTCATCTATTTCAGTAAAAAATGGATATTGAATATATCACCCACAGCGTTGTAGCTTCTTCTGTCTAAACTGAAGGACCTTCAACTAATACCAAGCTTCTGGATGTATCTGTCTCATCTCTAGACTTAGTCTATTGGGACAGAACCCTACCCTGTTCCCAGAAAGAAGAAACCAGGAAGAATCTATAGCACACATCAGTCAAATTCTTAATATAGACTCTTTGGGAGTCCAAGATCCTGAGCATTCTGTAGCACATTTATCAGTGTTAGTGTAGCCTAACAGAGACGTGGAAGACAGGCAGTCTGTCTAGGTCACTGGTTTCCAAGCTTTTTGGATTTAAGGATTATTAAACCTTCCCCAGTATCTGTAGAGCAAATTTCAGTACAGCAATTTCAAGCCAACTCACAACGGACTGCTTTCATCTCTAAAGGCAGTTTGTTCAGAGTTAGAGCTGTCATCCATATGCTTATCTGCTGTCCTTGGCATTCAAAACATGTTTAGTATTTAGCTATTTGGTCCAGGCAAGAAAAAAAGACCAGTAACAAGTATGACCTCCTGTAGGCTTTTAATACTATTTTTGTATTCTTTTTCTTTTTGAATTTATTTAACCAGTAGGCCTCCATATAATCTTCAAAAGAAATAAATGAGAAACAGAAGGAAATGTCTAACTATATAAAAAAATTCCTACTGATGAAATGAGTGAGGTTTCATTTAATTCTGTGTAAACACTCCACACCTCAACTTCTAGATCAACACGAAACAATTTTCTTGCATGGACTCCTACATTCCTTCTCTCTTTGCTAGACTAAAGGTCTAGCAAAAAAGCTCTTTGTCTTCCATGATGAGAAAGGAAAGGCCACAAACTGCACCAGAGCAAAAGTAAGTAGCTTTCTTAAGAAAAAAGAAAAAAAAAAAAAAAAAAAAAAGCCAAGAGGATAAGTCTCCTCAATACTATAAAAAGCAGAGTGTGTCTGCTTTCTTCCTGTTTTCTAGTCCTGTTTAAATGCTGGGGAAAAAACTCTGAAGAGCTTGCAGAAATGAAGCCCAATAGATTCCAACTCAGAGAAATCCCTATCTGCCCATCTGCACAAGCCACTGTGACCTGAATGCCTCAAATCCTGGCACATATTTCAGTAGGATTAGAGTGAAAGTGGGACATGTGGCAATGGATCTACCGGGAAAAGAATGAGCCCTGCAAATGGTTCCTCACTTCTCTCGATTAACACCTCTGTCACTAGAGATGGAGCCTCATCCTTTCACTCCTTAATTCTGCTTTACCTTTCTTTCTTGACTCCCTAACACACCCCACTATCCCACATCTCACACCCACATGTCTGTGTGTGAACCTTCCAACACCACTTCACATTTTCCCCACTCTTATGGACATAGACTAAGTCTTTTATTATTTCTTCTTAAGCTTGTATCATACTCAGATTCCTTTCTCTAAAGTATAACCACAACAAAATAAAGATGAGCATGATGATATTTTCCTGCCCTTTTCTATTGCTTGTTTTGTCATCAACTTGTACTTCTAAGCCAAGATGAAGTCTTCCGCCATTTTGTGTTTGGATTCAAGCTAACAATCCCTGCACACAGGGCAGGTTCACTGTAGCTGAATGCATCACTGGTTGAGCAAGCTTTCAGAAAAGCTTGAACAGGGCACCCTCACTTGCCTCATACATTGAGCAGAGAGAGAGACTAGATAACCTTGAGAGTTTTCTTCCAACTAAGAGTTTTGTGTGATTTTATGAATAGATTCGCATGCACACTGAATAGCAAATCTTTTTTTTCCCCCCGAATACTGATTTCATTTTGTTTCCCAAAGGAGCATGGCATTTCATACTGAAAATACTTTGGGTAAGTTCGTAGAAGTACTTGCTTTCTAGATACACGAAAAGGGAGGGAAAAAAAAATAAAGAAAATATTCAGAACCTTTGAATAGGAATAAATGATAAATGAAAAAATGTTTTGGATAGGAAATACGTTCTAGGAAGTCTTCCTTTAAGTTATCGCTGAAAGTGGAGTGCTGATCTTCTGTCTGGCTTTGTCAAATTTCTAAGCAATTCACAGATGCACATGCAGCTAACACTTAATGGGATTCAGATTAAAGAAAATATCGGATTCTTTTCCAGCACTTAATACAAAATTTGTATTCAAGTCATAATAGTGGCTGAAATCTCAGCAGTGATAGTCAACTCACTTCAGTATTTCTCACGTCCCCTGGCCTTTGGCCTTGTAAGGAAATTATATTCAGATTTCCACATTCTGGTAAAATGTAGCATGTGGAAAAGCCCTGATTTTGCTTGCCCTGACAATCTGCCAGGACAGGATTAGTGCTAATTCCGGTACTCATATAGGCTCTTTCTGCCTTCTCTTTTACATAACTAAGCGTAAGTAATCTTGTTCCCTTGGCAGCACAAATCTTCAAGAAGAGTTCATTCCTAAGTACTAATTACAGACAATTCTAATTAAAAATAAAACAGGTTGCTTTCAATGTTTACGTAGAGCAGTACAAAAAATAGTTCACTCGAGAAAACACAGACTAAAATAAATTTAAAAAGAAAACAAAACTATCAGGTGAAACAATTTAAAGCAGAGACAATACTAATTTATTTTTTTTAATGGAGGCAGTGATGTATTCAAAAACTAACATAGAAAATGGCAGGCCTATTACTCAGAGAGATGCTTCTCAACCAACTGTCTGAATTTCCCTTCCTACCCACTGTTAGGCTAATATCCTTACATCTGTGCTGGAAAGCCAGAAATCACTGCTAGTGCAAACTTCACTTATGCTATACTCTATGGGATGGCATTAACCACGTATGACTGTCTCTTCCATTATGGTTTTAATTTGTGCTGGCAATGTGAGCAAATAACAGACGTGCTCTTTTTTTTTTTTTTTTTTTTTTTTTTTTTTTTTTTTTTTTTTTTTTTTTTTTTTTTTTTTTTACCATTGCCACATGAAATTTTATAATAGATGCTTTACAAAATCATTTACAAAATGTAATATTTAATTACATAATCAGTACTATTACAGAATACCATGAGTCTCCTAAAGGGATGTTTCAGAGCAGTTTTTTAACTGGCTTGATGACTGCACACAGCCCAGTGTTCACAGTGCTCACACCTTCATTCCCTGTTCAAAGAATGTCCTTTTTTTATTTTAAACTAGGAGAAAAATAAAATTGATTTTTGGCAGCAGCCAGAGCTTGTAAAAGAAGTGATAACAATGAATTTGTCAATAAATTTACAATGCTGCATCAAGCTTAATAAAAAAGCTTAAAAAAAAACCCCAACAATGTTAACACAAGTCACAAATGTAGTTCTGGATTCTTTTGTATTCAAAAGACTGCCATAAGAAAAACAAAACCAACAAGTCTTCAAACACTAATTCTGGTATTCATCTATTTAGGATACAGAATACTTGTGCTTCACAAATTTAGCGTGACCAAACATAAAGAGCAAAAAATAAATACACCTAGTCAAGTTCAGTGCTAACCTCCAGTTTTGCCCTTCTTGGCAAATCCAGGTCCATGGCTGCCTAACACACCATGCTATGATGGCTCTCCTTGCAGGATCACCAACTTTTGTTTTGTTTAACAACATCCCAAAGTCACCTGGGAGTCACTGAAATATAAATATGCTTAGCCACAAATTTTTTTCGTCACCTGCATCAGTGGCTAAGCAGCTGCAGAGCAAAGCAACCAAACGTTTCCGTACTCGCACACGAACCAAAAAAGTTGATACATTTCAATCCACTTTCCAAAGAGCTCATTTTTATATGACAGTCTTTACCAGAAGTTCCACAGTTGAAGTGCAACTGCTTTTCCCCATGAGCTCTAATGAGGACTTTTTAAGTTTCTTCCCCTCTCCCCCCCCAATCACACTACATTTTCTTGCAAATTCAGTTGAAAACATTAAGGAGAAGAGAACAATTTTTTCTTTGTCTTAAGTACTGCCCCAGGTATCATGAGGAATATTAACAAGCAACAAAAGAACAATGACTCGCACTAAAATAAACGCATTTGAAAATTGCAGTGGCGCACTGAAGGCGGCACAATTTCAAAAGAAAAGATCCTTGAATAAAATAAGACTTTTTATTAAAAAATACACAATGTTTGTATTCATCTATGAACAAAATCTGATTTCCTTCTAGACATGAGTCATTACAAATGGTCATCACTCACCTCTCCTATCGCTTCTGCCTGCGTTTGTGGATTTGTCAGAAGGGCAAGGGCAACGTCCTTCACATTTCACTGAGATCTGTTTTCCTGAGACACAAGCTTGGTATTCTAATTTGCACTGCAAGAGGAGAGAACGACTGGCATTAATACGAGCACCTTTTACAGTAAAAAGTACAGCTCCTTAGATATTTTGATGTGATGTTTTGTAAAGTACTTAAATTTTCGTAGACACAAGTGCAAGGAAAAACGTTTGCAGTATATGATAAAGAGTCTGAGTAGATAAACATATAGGTTTTGCTCTTTAAGCTCCCTACAGTTTCGAACTCAATTCAGGCACTAATGCATTACTGGTTTTAGACTGATTGGAGTACCTGTACCAAACAGAATTAGGCTGCATTGGTTTTATTTATATTACATGAGCAAACAAACAAGGCATCAACATTCACTATCAATAGAAAGGAATTAAGAGAGATCTATTAGGGGATTTACAACTTTTTTTGCACTTTTAAAATAGCATTATTATGGTATAAAAAATAACAAGCAAAACAGAAAACTGTGGCTGATTTTCTAGTGGCAGTTTTTCTAATATAGAAACTGATTCACCTGTACAGTTCTGATCTGTGGATTTAGAGTTCTGATTCACAAACCTTGCAAAAATTAACTAAATCTAACCAGGAAATGGAATTGTCTGAAATATATAAAACTAATATAGTTAAGATCACATACACAGAAAATAATATTTTGTCAGTCTACTCAAAAAACCGCACTTCTATTTCAAAACAAGTTCTAGACATACAGCTCTGTCTGTAAGATTACCAGCATACTATCAAGGAAAATGAAAACAAATTTTAAAAAAATGTAGTATTTGAAAATGCTCATAGGTAAGGAAAGGAAAAGAGCAAAGTGCTTATGTAGAACACTTCATCTTTTTCAACCATCCATTGAACAAAGGATTGAAGATGCCTCATTAGTCAGATAGAAGACAAATAACAAAAAATAGGAGGACTCAGAAAAACATTTCAAGTGACAAATAAAAATAAGAAATTAATTTTTATGCACCACAAATTTTCAGAAAAAAAATAATTTAAGAACTTGTGACCTATATTCCCTGTTCTGTTTAGGTACGTAACATCAGTTTAATGCAATCATAGCAAACAAATAACAGGATTTCTGGCAAATCCTGAAGTCCAAGTTTCTCCTGCACAATAATGAGGAAGGAGTTGGGGCACACACTGTAGCTATATAAAATGTGTTTCTGAAAGGTCCGATGAGTTTTCCACTAGTATGCGGAAAGAATGACTTGAACACAGTTCATTCCTGAGATTTTATCAACTTTTAACACTGCTGCACTTCTAATTTTGTCACACTGCCATGCAGTTCTCCATCTGAACTTCACCACGCTGAAATATCTTTTTGCACCATTCCCAGTATCCAAGAGAGGACATATTAGAAGACTGAGACTATCTCAAATGTTGTGCACCTACACAAAACCATAATCGCAGCCCAGTTCTGAATTTGCTACCTTTACTCAAAAAAAGGCACACCTGAAGACAGCATGGCTAAAATCATCTTCAATTCGACAAAAGAAAACACTAAAACCGATTTGTATGTTTTCATACAGATTTCTCTGTATGAGAAAGCCAAGAATAGGTTTGCTCTCAGCATCAAAAGATGCTGAGATGTGCAACTCTTTCAGTTGAAAGTACTTCCTTACAGGAGCTGACTGTGACTAAACTGGCTACTCTACTGTGTACCTGAAGTACTGGAAGGTACCACGATGCTCCTTTCTGACAGCACATGATGTAAAACCCATATTTTAATACATGAAATAATCTGCAGTGTCAGTAGAACAGATCACAGTCTGAACTCAATATATTATTTCTGCTCCCTGCTTTAAGATCTGAGAATTTTACAGTCCTGTCTTAGTAGACTAGGAAGTCTATAAACACTTTGCTTTCAGGATGCTTACAAAAAAAATGCATCAGGCACTCAAGTCCGTTAGCAACTGAATTCAATGAGACCATTTAAAACTGGGCATACCAATTCTGTTTATTTAAAATACTGGCAATCAAACATGAGGAGTATAAAACAAAAAAATACATTTCGATGCTCCTTTGTTTAAGACTCCAGTATTTGCACTTTGTTTCACTCAAGTGTTACTGAAGAAACTAATAAACACTTCAAAATCACCCCAGCCAACACGATAGGTATGAACTATGAGTTGAGTCCTCTCAATTAATTTTCTTTAAAGGTGCTTGCTTCATTTCATTTTGAAAATAACATCACCCTCTTAAACGTAAAGAAAAGTAGTGCCTTGCACCTGTCATGGACACCGATACCTGAGTGAGTGTAAGGTCAATACACACCAGTTCTAACTCAGCATTCCCATTCACAGTTACACCAGAATTTCCATGCACTGAACTGTTTCTATGGACAGGTGGGCAGAGTTACACTCTCCATCTCCAATAACAAGGCAAAACCAAAGTGCTTGCACAAGCCAGAAATAAATCAATAGGCTTTTCCAACAATTTAACAGCAGCAGCTAATGACTGCAGGAGTATGATTCTAGCTCAAAATTCATGTCTTTGCTCTCTAAACCAACAATGCACTGGGATATCACAAAGACAGCTCAGGAAACCAAAGGCAGGATAGATATTTCAATGTTCAGCTCAATCAACTGGGCAGCAAAGCAGGTAATACACCTGAAAAAACTTCAAAGAAGAAATTTATGACGTAGAGAATATGAGCACCCAGTGAAAAATACATGTGCACTACCAGCAGAGGAAATATTAGGAACACGACAAAATTTTTTTTAGATTTTGGGGAAAAATATCTGAATACATGAAACAGCAGAGAAACACAGGAACAAAACCATGAAGTATAACATCACAAACGGAATCAAAATGGTTTTCATTTATTCATCTTTAGTATTGACTTTTTATATGGGGAAAATACATCACTGAGCATTTTTCAAGGAATTCATCTTTTGTAGAATTACTTAATTTGATTTCATGAACAGCTGACTATTTGTGCTATTTTCACCACAATCCATCACGTGCGTGAAAAGAATCCATTTTACATTGTAACACACCTAGCTTTCTATTTTTCTATCTTGATTCTCTGCACGGGAGTTTCAGTTTGTCTCATCTGTATGTCTGATTTTAGGGCCGTTTCAACTGTTTGAGTTCTTGCATGTCTTGTTTCAAGACAGAGGAATAGCTAGCTATTTCCTATTCATAAGCACTATGCATCAGCATACAGCTTTGAAAACAGATGGAGTCTAAGTACCACGTCAGGGTCTCACAGCAGTGTATTTGAGGATGAAAAGTTCCTCATATCTGTACTCTTAAGTTTCCTATTTGACGATGCAATTTGTTTACTTATATTCTGTTTCAAAACCTGCTCAGTAGTAAATGGACCCAACATTCTTAGATTTACCTTAAGTAGTTGTTTGGTGAACTAGAGACAAGCAATTAAGATCCGTGGGAAGAACACCAAAGAATGTATGTCATCTCTAGACACGACTCATGCAGCTTTACTGTTATTACAGTAAAGATGAGAACAGTTATATTTCTGGAACAATTACTATGTACTTCATTTTGAAATACATCAGCTCTGTTGTTATAACTACTCTCACAGAGTTGGAAAGATTAAATGACAGTAATAGATTTCATTAAGCTGTGCTACCTTCCAATCCAAAGAGCTACCTGTCAACAGCTGCCAAACCAACCTCTGTATATTCTGTATAAAAAGACTACTTTTGCCTCAAGATGGAAAAAAGTATTTTCCATGGCAAAACTATAAAATCATGGATACACAGGGAAAGTAAAAGAAAAAGCATGTATTTAGGTGTACATTCAATTGTTATGAATAGAAGAACAATACACTTTTTTTTTTTTTTACAGAGAGCTCACTGAAGAATCCCACCTTCTCTTGTATTTGTATGTCAGAGAAATTCCAGGTAGGTATCACAGCTTCCATACATACTTACTTACCTTAGAATATCCCCAAATCAAGTTCCTCTGACCAACTGATGTAATTTTGAAATGTGAATGACAGTATGCATGCACACATATGTGGAAGACTGTGATCAAACCTGTGACTTGGGAAAACTTTCTGACTGAAAGATTGCAGTACATCTCCAGAGAAAGGAGCATTATGTCAATCAATATCAAATACGAACAGGTAAAACCTCTCTGTACAGTGAAAAACGAATATTCTGAGGATATTTTTGTGGTTTAGAACATTGAAACTTAGTAGAATTTGAACTAATTGAGCAAACCTGAAGCTGCTGAGAAACTGTTAAGGGTAGAAAACGCACGATCAGTGCAGAAATGAATGAAGAAAAAAAAAAGAAATAAGGAAAGATTATTTCAGAAATTACAATATGATTTCTGGGAAATACACTAAAATAAATACTCAAATAACTTGTAAGCACTCAGAAGATGAAAGGAGATGAACAATGCTACAGAGTTTTGTCAGAGAAATAGTAATTATCTAGCTTCATTCTACGGAAGCATTTCTAGAAAACAAAGATAAAATAGAATTCAAGTAGTTTGATTTTGCCAGCGCTTGTCATGCTCTCTTGCACTGCAACCTTGTAAGCCACACCAGAAAGCACACTCACTATTTGTACAATCATGCTGAATGATGATGACAAAACTAGTTGGAAGCGATTTTTAGATACAGCAATCGATGACTTGCAGTCATGAAAGGCTGCACTGGAAGCAGATTTTCACAAGAGTGTATCACAACCCTAGAACTATTTTGTCCCTTCTTAAATGGCTAAGGAGGTATAAACATGCAATACATTTTCATAACTTTGGAATACACAAATTTATTAAAAATATTCATAATATTGAGAAAGGCTGAAAATACAATGTAATTCAGAAAATTGCTGTTCCTCTTTCAAGCATACATAGTAATCAACTTGAACGTTCAAACTAAAGAGTAACTGGCTAGAATTCCATTCCAAAGGGAAAAAAAAAAGAATCAAGTGATCGCTGTCAACAATTGCACAGTCTTTAAGAAAAATGTCATACTGTAATGTATAAACAAGACTGTAGCCTACGAAGTGTGGAACAATTCTGTACAGCTCTGGTAAAGACTGAAAGAATG